GGTGTTCGTTATTTATTTGGGTTAATTGTTTGCTGTAGTGTGAATCCTGTTATGTTAATCTTATAATATGTTCTCCTTAAAAATGTCTTCAGTTACAGTGGTACAAAATAAGTACACCTGATCTACAATAAATCAATTTTATGGTATAGTAACACAGTATTGAAAATTAGTTCAAATATTCCCCATGCAGGTACCACTTGTCAATTTAGGTAAATTAATTATTCACCTCCAAATCAGTCAAAAAAGAACTTAAAAAAAAATCATCCAGTTTTGTCTTGCACATTGTGTCCCACCAGAGACCATATAATAGATATGGTCTCTGGTCCCACTCATGTTGATTGAAATAAATAGTTTCTACATGATGATGTGGCGATTCGTTTTTCCTCTGCGATTGTAACATGCAGCTACGCACACATCCCCCATCACCACTAGTCCTGTACAACTGAAAATAAATGCGTGAATAAATACCCTATATCTATAAAACAGAGTCGATAGGACAAAACATTTTAAACAGAAAAAATACCAAACAAATAATTTCATCACAGGAATAATACAAAAAAATTGTCTGGTCCAGATCCACTCGAGGAGAGCTATCTTGATCCTACTTATAATCTCGATTATCTAGCTCAAGAATTAACAACACTACTCCCATGTGGAAGTGGATGATTTGAATCCAGGTCAGGAAATACGTCTTTTACTTTGTTCATATGTTGATAAAGTAAACGTAATTGATTTCCCTGGGTAATATATCCACTATTGTGACTTTAGAGTAGCTTCCCTTCATAAATGCTGCGCAACATGGTAAACGTTACCTAGATATCTAGGTCATATGACTCATCGTGATGTGTCGTGATGTACAGTCATTATTCACCCTTCAATCCGTGGATATGCTACAGAAACATTTGTGTAGCCCTTTCCCATTTCCCTGCGATTTCCCTGAACTACTGGACAGTTTCGTAATGTACCGTTCAAGGGAAATTTGAAACCAGGAAGTATACATTGAGTTTAATCGCCATTACGCGATTGTGTCCTTGCCCCGTTTAGCCTCGTTTTGGTACAGATATGAATATTCATGAGGCCTCATTAAGAATGGTCTATACATGGTGGTAGAGCGAACTGTATTTCTTAAATACATCTATCCCAACCTAAGTCACTAGCACCCTCACAAGGAGGTAATTTTGTATGTTAAAAACAACATTTCTTATCTTCAACACATTGCCCTATCCCCCTACAATGAAGCTTGCAGTTACCACTCCCATTGCAAACTGGAAGCTTCTTCGCGGCAATCTTTAGCCTTGCTACAAGGCTGTACTGAAAGCTGAGCCCATGGTTGTATAGTAATTCTGTCCTTCGAAGGGGCAAGTCTTGATAAGGACCCGAGTCTGTATTTTTTATATTTTAGAAACCACCATTTAAACTATTAATGTTTACCTTAGAGACTTGTGTCAACCAAGTGGGCGAGTTTCTTATCCGTAAGGATTGTGCAAGTCTAGTAAATCTTGTTCACCATCGGGAGTGCTCTGGCGCTGTCCAGACAAATCGGTCGCCCAGGAAGCCATTACATCCGCTCACTATTGCTACCAAGATCTTTCCCTAGCCGTTCCCTACTGTTCGGCCCTGTTGAAAACATACTCTCCGACAAGTCCATTCTGCACTGCGCTGAGTTCTTAAACCGGTTCCTTGAACGCGTACGTCACTCCCTGTATATATCAAACCATGGTCATGGAATAATTCAACATGGCTGTACGTGCTCGTCAGGAGGAACTTTCGAAGTATCTTCCAAACGTAAATGCCTTTAACAGCTTGTTAAAGGCATTCACGAATGGACTCGTAGGAGAGTATGTTTCTGGGACCCGCGTTTCGCAGCACTAGGATATTCAGCATACAGCATACTATCAATATAGCTCTTAACGCTACATACCCAGGAAGATCCGGGATCGAATTGGTCTTCAGTAACCCATGCTTGTCATAAGAGCCGACCAACGGGATCAGGTGGTCAGGCTCGCTTACTTGGTTGACACATATCGAAGTATTCCAATTGCGTAGATCGATGCTCATGCTGTTGATCACTGTATTGTCTGGTCCAGACTCGCTTATTAACAGACCGCCGCCATAAAGCTGGAATATTGCTGAGTGCGGCGTAAAACTAAACTCACTAATTTAATGCTACAAACGCCTTGTGGATCGGGACCGTGTATTTTTACTTTGGTGAGGATACGAGTCTGTATACAGGAGCGTACCTGAGGTAAATATCTGAACTACCCCTGCCGACAACGACCCCTTCAGCGGTAATATTGCCATGTCGTACATCGTCCACTAGGGCAGAGGACCATCGTAGTATTAACGTTAATAGCCCCTGCACAGTCTCGCAGTCCTTGAACATCAATATTTCCCATTCCGCCCAAACCTTTCTGTTTCTGGATGAAGCAAGTCTAGATTTTCTCAGGTTCAGAATATGAATATCTGAGCTCAATGCGACTCCTTTTCAATTTAATTGGAGTTATATTCATGATAAATACATGTATATATATATTCAGGGCGTAAGCGTTAGTCTAAGCAGTCCCAGAAAACCAAGTGTGTCTGACTTATTGCAACCCTCACATGGGTAGCCTCACCAGGACTCGTGCACCCCCACACACCATCCCTTAGCCCAGGTGAGGGGCAATGGGGAGGGTATGTGTGAAACAACTACAGTTTACCTCTCCCTCTCCCTCTCTCTGCCACTCTCTCTCTCTCTCTCTCTCTCTCTCTCTCTCTCTCTCTCTCTCTCTCTCTCTCTCTCTCTCTCTCTCTCTCTCTCTCTCTCTCTCTCTCTCTCTCTCTCTCTCTCTCTCTCTCTCTCTCTCTCTCTCCACCTATCTCCACCTACATGCACTGCGTACAAATCAGGGGCAACTATTGTTGCCGCTAGGTCAACACGACATATCACTGTCCTCCTTATTGTGAAGGACGTTCCCTTGACATTGTTCAAGTAACTGTGTAACCTGCAGCTGCCATTTTCATTTCTGGGTTGGCCTCAAAAGTCACATATAGCACAAATAAATAAAAAATCTATCACACGTTTACGAAAAATGCTTTTGACAGCCAAATACACAATTTCTCTCTCTCTCACTTAACATGTAATAAATTACATGTCTACAAACTTTATGAGAAGAAAAATATATATATTCTAAAGAAGCTACACCAGTGACTTCGTTAAATCTTTGGCCAATGTTCACAACTAGATTAAACTGACCGAATTACATCCATATTTTTTCAATGAAATATACTGTTGACATGCAAAACATTTATTAAAACGTTGCACATTTCTACAATCAATCGATAAGATAACACAAGTGATAGGATTCTTTCCAATGTACAGTAATTCGTATGTTTATTTCAAAACAAACACACATACACAAATGATCCTTTACATAACCGATACGTAACGTACACATATTCAACATTTTGCAGAAAATATCTATTGAGATGACCCCTCCCACGTGCGTGTGCTCAGGTGTCAATTTCACCTGTCGATACAGTGGATGCTGATGACGGAACACAGGCACTTAATGTTTGTATCAAATAACGTCCCACTACCCCTTATTTTTCTAAGTTTTTGGTATTTTCATCAGTAAAAACACATTTCAGAGCATGTCTTAAAATTTATTCCCTCGGTCTACATTAGGTAGATGTTTCTTGAAGTGATATTTGTTATTTAAGTAACTGTAATACCTCTGAATTTTAAATATAAGTCAAAAAGCATTTTTCTAGCATTTCCGACAGTACTTTAGTGATAAACTGTTGGGGGGATGCCGTCCCTCTATTATATGGTCTCTGATATAATCAGTTGGCTCAAAGTGAAAGTTAGAGACTCTCCAGTTTACAACCTGAATGAACGGTCCAAGGCACTGCCCCAGGAACGGTAGACTCACGTTTAGTCTCTGAATATATTATTAAGATTTTGATAGTAAGAAATATACCCATTTAAATTGAAAAGAAGCCCCAGTGAGATGTGAGATTCAGAACCTGCAGATATCTAGACTTGCTTTATTAAAGGCCAGGCAGTAGGGAACATAATTAATGTGGTAATGGGAGACAAACTACAGGACTGGCAGCAGGCCCCAATGCTGAAATCATATATGTGATCAGCAGCATGAACAGACGTCTGTCGAATGTTATCTGTGAGAAAGAGATTCTGTACTGATTGGAGTGTCAGTGCTGATTCCAACGTTCACAATAAACATTTTACTTCATAGTATATCAGTGAGTTTAGTTTTACGCCGCTTTTAGCAATTTTCCCGCAATATCACGTCCAGGAAAACCAGGAATGGGCTTCACGCATTGTACCCATGTGGGGAATCGAACCCGGGTCTTCGGCGTGACGAGCGAATGCTTTAACCACTAGGCTACCCCTCCACACCTCATAGTACAACAGTCCGACATATAGACATATACCACAACAACGTCATCGCAAGACATGTACTACCAATTACACCACAAATTGGCTGAGAGACCTTTCTTATACACTCATTACGTGACCTACTCAAGCCAGCACCTTTTGACACTCACTGCGAAGTGCCCTAGAGAAAGGCGACTTCAGATATGCATCAGATTTGCATCCAATACATTGCACATACAAATATAGAGATGTAGCAGGTATTACGCCTTAATACAAATCGGATACTGCTGAGGTGCCATTTGAACATTTGAGGTAGATCTGTTGACAGCGTGAGCAAGACGTAAGTGGTTATGTTCACTGTCAAGGGTCCATGGTTCGTGTGCACGTTTCACATACATGACGACGGGGATTGTCGCCTAAGCACTGAACAAAGATTTACATAATAAAACGGGTTCGTCCATCAATTTACTTTCATCCACTTGACTGCATATGGCCTCAGTTAAAATATATTCAAGTTGCAAGTACATAGATATGTCAGTGGAAGATACTGACTAACTGACAGCCGACTGTCCTGAAAGACAGTTTAAACAACAGACTGACGTCATAGATTATATCTTACTTTGATAGAGTTGAAATGTTTGTGGTTTGAGGCCGGTTCTTTGGTGTGCTTGGTGTAACCTCCTGCTTGCTCTGGTCCGCGTGGTATGCTACACTGACTTCACAGCAGTGCCTAAAATTCATCCGGGCGACTATTACTAGGTCAACATGACAAATCATTGTCCTTGTTGTGGAGGGTACTCGCGGATGGATCGGATGGATTTAAGCCAGCACTGATCTGCTACTGACATACGCGGCCAGACATGCAGTGTACAGAAGGACCGTTAGATGTATGGGACAATCTCCACTTAAGGGAAGTACGAAGTAGGTCACATATCTTCACCTTCCCGTACAGTGTACATATCAGGTGCAACTTGCTATGTCAAATGTAAGGCCAGTAACTGTGTAATCGTCATCTCGCTCTCTTTGATGAACATACAATTCAAAATTTATGCAAAGAAATGAAGCTGCTACACAGTCGATGCTCTCTCTCTCCACCTATCTCCACCTACATGCACTGCGTACAAATCAGGGGCAACACGACATATCACTGTCCTCCTTATTGTGAAGGGTGTTCCCTTGACATTGTTCAAGGGACCCACAAAAGTTATGGTTTTTCGAAGGAAAGGAGTTATAACTAAAGATAACGTGGCGCTATAATGGCGTTCCTCCCAACCAGTTTAGGCATATAAATATCTCGGTGTTTTCTCATACTTAAAGTCTACTGGGCCTGGATTTCCGAAGCTCTCCTAGCGCTAAAATAGTCGTAAGTTAAGGTATTGCACTTACGACTACTTTACAACTTTAAGAGTAAAATCTGTGAATTGCACTGGCCAGATTCAGACGTACCAATCACAGTAGTATTTCAGAATACTTAGCTTGGTATATCTTGAAATTCACGGATAATTATATTAACAGTTAAGGGGAGACAACCACCTGTAAACACTACTAATACTTTTAGTATGGTAAATCCTGCTGTAATTGAATCACTTGATATTTGTATTATCTCACTTAAAAGCTTTTTCTGAGTGCTAAAAACTATTCCTATGTATTGTTAATATTGTACTTTATTTTTAACCTCCAGAGTGCACATTTGAAGAACGTTAACGGAGGTAATCTATGCCCGGTCATAAAATTGTATGTGATGTTTTTAAAATCAATTGCAATGCTCTGATGGCATGTGGGGCGGTGGAGTAGCCTAGTGATTAAGGCGTTCACTCGTCACGCTGAAGACCCGGGTTCGATTCCCCACATGGACACTATGTGTGAACCCATTTCTGGTGTCCCCCCGACGTGATATTGCTGGAATATTGCCAAAAGCGGCGTAAAACTAAACTCACTCACTCTGATGGCATGTGGGTTGTATTTTGTATTTATTCATGCATCTGGCTTATTGTACTTATGTTGTGTCACCTTGACCACATGTATCTAAACGTACCCCGGTCCGGAGGTCATGTATACTGGAAAAAATAATCTTGAATCTTGAACGCCTGTTTCGACGTCATGTGAAGTTGTCTTTCAAAGGTAGCGGATGATTAACCTAATAAATTTTTACAATAACCAGCGTTCGAAATACCTGCCTGCCCGACCGCCCGGGACGGGTTATTTTCAACACGGTCTGCCAGATTCTCAAATTCACCTGCCCGACGGTTGGGTTAAAATTTAGACATGTTTATGAAGATATTTTGTGGGCATGTAAGTTTTGGTCAGGGTTGGCAAGTCTTACATCTAACCAGCCCTGTGGTCTGGCTGACATTTTTGGGAGTTTAATACCCTGCAATAACTCAACTTCGGTGTTACAGTGACAGTGAATGTAGTTAAAACATGGGCAATTATATCCACCTTCCTTGGATATGCCTACTCAACCTTATACACGCGTATAGCTGAACATTCGAAGATACGCTTTTATACACTATTGTAGGTACATGACAATACAAATACCATCACAATACATATGTACAGTGCACTCTGTCAAACTCGGACTCTGTCTTTCTCGGATTGCTGTATAAACAGGACTGAACTGTCCCGACGTATCCTTCTTTGTTGTCATAATGAAAAAGTTCTGTATCTCTGACTCTCAAAGTGTCGGCCCGAAAGGGTAGTTAGTTACACGTAAAAACATTGCTTTATAATCCGTACTGTATAAACAACGACACGTGTCATTTTACGAGAGCTTCAACCTGTTGCCACTAACTGACTGACTGACTGACTGAGTTTGGTTTTACGCCGCTTTTAGCAATATTCCAGCAACATCACGGCGGGGGACACCATAAATGGGCGTCACACATTGTACCCATGTGGGGATTCGAACCCGGGTCTTCGGCGTGAAGAGCCAACGCTTTAACCACTAGGCTACCCCACCGCCCTTGCCACTAACATTCATGGATAAAACAGTCAAATATGCACAACCACATCCCAGCTAACAATTTCACATTGTCACAACGTTATTCTGTGGTCTCCCATTTACGTTGTCACAACGCTGTAGCCTGACGTGATACGTTTAGGAGATAAACATCATGTGTTGGCCAATTTCCGAGAAGAAGCGGAAACTAGAATCATTCTTCACGTTTGCATGTTGATGCTCAGAATCCTTCTGCTGCACAAGTTGTGATATGATCAGATGATACAGATGAGTTGATTCTGCTGCACAAGTTGTGATATGATCAGATGATACAGATGAGTTCATTCTGCTGCACAAGTTGTGATATGATCAGACGATACAGATGAGTTCATTCTGCTGCACAAGTTGTGATATGATCAGATGATACAGATGAGTTCATTCTGCTGCACAAGTTGTGATATGATCAGATGATACAGATGAGTTGATTCTGCTGCACAAGTTGTGATATGATCAGATGATACAGATGTCTTGATTCTGCTGCACAAGTTGTGATATGATCAGATGATACAGATGTCTTGATTCTGCTGCACAAGTTGTGATATGATCAGCTGATACAGATGTGTTGATTCTGCTTCTGAAGGTTGTTCAAAAGGTAACAACTTCTGTTCTATTTGACAAAGGCACTGGTGACAAACGAAGACTTCTGGATGTACAAAGTATCATCAATCTGAAAGGGTCCACTCTTTGCAATGTCCAGCCAGCCCTTCATGCATTTACAGGACGTGATACCACCAATGCCTTTGTCAGACGCGGCAAAGTTCTCCCCATTGAGCTTCTCGAATCTCACCCTGAATTTGTGAATGCTTTTTCCAAGATAGGACTTTCTGATGAGATAGCCATTGACTTGTTTAGGTCTTTGGACTCCTTTGTCTGTCATATGTATGGTCAAGTCACACACAATGTAAATGAGGCTCGCTACCAAATCTTCATGAAGAAGGGAGGACAGACTATGACAAGCTATGATGATGTAGACATGAGACTCCTTCCACCTTGCAGAGACTCCCTACACATGCACATGCAGCGTGCGATCACCAGGCCTTGATCTTGGTCAATGCTGACAAGAATCACCCTAGTGTTGCTCACCCTGTGGGCTATGGGTGGCTGAAAGGGGGAGTAAATGCTCTGAAATATCAATGGACCATAGGCAACATCCTTCCACAAGAGTTGACTGACATAATATCCAGCAAGAACTTAGATTTGAGTAGAATGGAGGATTCAGACGAAGTTGAGATTGAGAGTCTTGTGGACACAATCTATGATGATTCGGCATAAAGGTACATAAATATATAAGTAATGGTAACTCAAGTGTTATAAAAAGCCAAAGTGAGAATAAACCACCATGTTTTAAGTATAGCTGTAACAATAATTTTGATCATTTTAGAGCAATTGAAGAAATAATACGTACTTTAACCAACTCCCAACTAGACAATGTAGAAAACACAATTCAAGTCTGATTTCCCCCTCAGACACAATGCATTTTTCAAATTTAAAGTCTTCCTGCGCCTCTAACTAAATAATAAATGTTAGATATTTTCATTGTTCCTGATCAAGGGCAGTTATTAGAATGTATTTTGTGAAAAAAAGAAAAAACTCATTTTTCCAAATTTTTACCCCCTGGCCCCCCCTCACCTATATCAGCCCATGGACTATTTAGAATACAGCACCACAACTTCTTCTTTGCCGTAGGTCACGTGTCATTAAGACAAGCAATCAGTTTGTGAGATACCGTCGGACGCGAACCCGCGACCTTCGGACTGTTAGCCCGACAGCTAACCGACTGTCCACACTGTTGCACAATGTGCAAATTTATCGAGTCATTCCTGTGACGTCACGGAAATGAACGGAAAGAGTCGAATAGGTCACGGACAGTTACGAAGGTTACGGGTAGACTTGGTGTCTCGTGATTTTATTGTACGGACAATTGCCGAATGGACCCGATGCCATTTGGCACACTCGTCCCATTCCGTAATCTACAAATTAACGTGTGGCGTGGAATGAGCCGATATGCCTCAAACTGAAAAGGGTTGTTGACGTCAGGCGTCAGACGTAGATTTGGCGGTGCATGCATGAATGACGCGCTTTTATATATATCGGTGATTTTGTGACAGAAAAGTGATGTAGGGAACACTGTCAGGATAATGTGGATCGCACTAAGGAACGAGGGAGACATGAGCATGTGTAGTGACGGCACGAGGGTGAGTTAGCCTTCGAATTGCTACTGAACAAATGTTGCGTGTGAAAGAGGCTTGAGTGCAAATTCCAGGCCAATTTCCATTAACCCAAAATTTGTACATTAAACCATTTCATAGTGTACTTTCGACGACGTTTTTGGTTTCCCGTTTTTGTGTGAAAAAAAGTATTAAAATGCAAAAGGAAAAACACCAATTAATGGTACTCACGTATTACACCGGACATGTACCTGCTATATTGGATTAGGTCCCTAACCCTAAACCCTAACCCTAAATCCTAACACTAACCCTAATCCCTTGAAATAATCCTAATAAATAGAACAAAACATAACACCTCAGCACCCCGTAATACAAATAAATATGAGCGTATAAGTGAAAAAAGAAAAATATTAAACTGGTGCTTGCAAAATATTGCGCATCCGCCGGTATATACCTGCTGGAAACTCTCAACATCGTTGGGCTTATGCAATGACATAGCTCGTAGAGATGAAACACCTGTGAGCGGAGCTTTTATTACCCACGTGGTCAACGTATGGGTAGTTGCATACTAATCTCGTACGTCACACGAGTGTCGTATCGCGTTGACCTGTGTCGTAACGACTTGACCTGAGATTCTAACGATTTGATTGGATAACCGATGACCCCTCAGTTAGGTCACGTTGTGACGGAACTACTTGTTCATTAATAACAAACACGTGAATTCATTCATTCTACAACTTAGATGCATTGTGGGAATGTAAACATTGCGAACGTTGTCGTGTCGCTGTTTAATTATGAGTCGAACTGAGACGTTATATCCGTCGAAAAACATAAACGCAATGTTTCCACCAGTGATGTTAGCCGAGTGAAGCAGTTGCAAACCAAGAAACGGGGTGCTACGAAGTAGTTTACTGAAGGAGGCTGTACGAGAGGCGATGACAACTGACATGCATCTTGACATCGGTTACCAAGGGGACAGACGAGTGACGTCAATACAGTGTGACGTCATGCAAAAGTGTACGTCAGAACAAAATTCTTCCGCAACCTCTTTATGAAACCGGTTTCGGTTCAAACCACAACACTACCAAAACTACGCTATTTTGTCAATTGAATGCATGTAAGACGTGGGTAATAAATAAAATACCATACTCGGTCTCATTACATACGAATTATACGAAACTCGTGACCTTCCTATGGTTTCTGACCTCGCTTTCGCTCGGTCAGATACCATAGGAAGGACACCCTTTCGTATAATTCGTATGTAATGAGACCTCGTGTAGTATTCTCTATATACGCACTCGCTGAGCTGGACAACCGTGTTGCCATGCAGGCGTCATAGGGCATTGTTTCGAGAACGTGCTTTCGAATAAAATCACATTACTTTACGTAAAAGGGTATTATGACGTATTTTTGTGGTGCTGTATTCTAAAGGTAGGCCTCCGGGTGTTATTGAGTATTTGAAGCACGGGAATATTTCACGGTTTCAAATGAAATATTCCCGTGCTTCAAATACTCAATAACACCCGGAAATTGGCCAACACATGATGTTTATCGACATTGTAAACACAAAAGTAAACCAAAAGGTCCACACACGTTTTTGTGTCTGCACTTATTGACATCGAGTACGGGTACGGCAGTGAAATGTCATCAGCCGGCCGTTTCGGCTGTCTCCAATGGTAGCATCTGGGACTGCTCATTTGTGACGTCATTCGGACTTTACGTCACAATATGATTTGAATGACGTCATCACAGCTGACGACGTAACAATACAATGGTTGTGAGCGATGTTTGTTTGTATTAATACGCAGCGAATTTCCGGGAATCGAATACCATTCGATCATGTTTTTCAACCAATCAGATTAAAGAACACAGTGACTTTTGGTTTACAATATTTTAAGACGCATAGCATAGCATAGCATAGCATAACGTTTCCTCAACGTAAATTTGCAACGTGGTTATTACGTTGTGACATAACGTTATAAAATGACGTAATACTAATGTTGTAACAACGTTGTGTCATGACGTTACCAATCTACAACCTTCCCACAACGTTGCGAAAACGTTATGTGTTAACTGGGGATAACACTACAAGCATGTTCTTGGTTTAACGCGTTCATGTCTCGCATTGTAAACAGGTTTATGTATTTCGCACTGCTAAGAATCTCGTATCTCTTGCACGCTAGGCTTGTTGTATATTGACTGTTTCGATCAAACTGCAAAAACGTTATTCATGGTTTTCACCACTGGTTTGCCTTACCTCGACTCGATTATTTACAACCGATGTAGTGTAGCTGAATATTACAGAGGGTACCGTTATCCAATATTCACTCGTGATGAATCTAAGCACAAGCACGTAGGTATACTTGGAGCAATAACCGTTTAACATCTAGAACACACAATGAATAATCCGGGGGCCCAGGATGGCTCGGAATAACATGCAGTCTCTCTAAATGAACATATTTTGCAAAAAAAACGGTTCATAAATAATAATCATAAAGTATAATGAAAAGGAACCCTGAGACCTTCTTCATTTTCAAAAACTGTGAAAATCTAGACTGGCCACATATTCTAGAATTGCATGGGCTTTCTTGGGTATATTTGTCTCAGTGTCTGTATGACAGACTCAGGGTGGCACAGTAGCTTGGGAAACCGCCATTGCGACTCGAAGAGTTGCGTCCCTTGGGCACGCCGTAAACCTGTGATGGTGCACGTGGGTTCAAATTCCAGGTCATCACAACTATGTTTCACTTGTGCTGCTTGGGAACGTCTAAGACTCGCATCACTTCGGGGTTCCCTCTCACATCAAGCTTACTCTGACTGGAATGCGGTTCAAAGTTGAGTTCAACCTTTAAAACTCACTCACTTGAATATTCCGGATTAGGAATGGTGCCCAGCAGCATATACTGGTCGTAATCGTATATAGGCGACGTTGGAGTGAGTGAATGAGTTTAGTTTTACGCCGCACTTAGCAATATTCCAGCTCTATGGAGGCAGTCTGTAAATAATCGAGTCTGGACCAGACAATCCAATGACCAACAGCATGAGCATCGATCTACGCAATATGGGATACGATGACATGTGTCAACCAAGTCAGCGAGCCTGACCACCCGATCCCGTTAGTCGCCTCTTACGTCAAGCATGGGTTACTGGAGATCAATTCGAACCCGGACCTTCACGGGTCGGACAACGTTGGACATTGAACATAAAGTCCATCATAAAGTCGGCTGTTTTTACAACCATTCAAAGGCGATGACGAAACTAGGCAAGATCAAGACGGTTGTATATGTTAAACAACAAAATTAAAGAAGATCAAGACAGTTGTTTAATTTCAGTTTAATTGTAAAATACTAGTATGTTGCTCCATATACAGGTTAATACGACATTAACAAAAACAATTAAGGAAACTATTCTTTACGGGACCAATTGATTGTGAAATGCGGTCTATACAAAACACTGGTTCTCCATCTGAAGTAGATAGCCGACACATATCTTCACTGAACAAAATATATGTGTGAATGTATTTTGTAATCTGCAGCTGACAATGATACTTCCAGGCAAGTTAGGTAATAACAGAAGGGAATCCCAACCATGATTCTCGCTGACTCAGCTCTTAAAGGTAAACTCATCACTGCCTAACACGATATCCCAACCCTAGACGTTGGTCAAAATTGATTTGTGACATTATTAATCGAGTTTCATGTGACGTATGTGTAGTTTCTATCCTAATCATTCATTGATAACACCCGCTGTCACAAAAGTCGGCTTATGAATGATAACGCGTAAGCATTTCTTAATAAAATAACTGGTGTCAAGTAAGGATTTCTTAATACAATATCTGGTGTCAAGTAAGTATTTCTTAATAAAATATCTGGTGTCAAGTAAGTATTTCTCAATACAATATCTGGTTTCAAGTAAGTATTTCTTAATACAATATCTGGTGTCAAGTAAGTATTACTTAATACAATATCCGGTGTCAAGTAAGTATTTCTTAATACAATATCTGGCGTCCCAACATAAGTATTTCTTAATACAATATCCGGTGTCAAGTAAGTATTTCTTAATACAATATCTGGTGTCAAGAAACTATCTCTCAATACAACATCCGGTGTTAAGTAAGTATTTCTTAATAAAATATCTGGTGTCAAGTAAGTATTTCTTAATACAATATCTGGTGTCAAATACAATATCCCAGTGTCCCACGTAAGTATTTTTTAATACAATACCCAGTGTCCCAACATAAGTATTTCTTAATACAATACCCAGTGTCCCAACATAAGTATTTCTTAATACAATACCCAGAGTCCCAACGAAGGTATTTCTTAATACAATACCCAGTGTCCCAACATAAGTATTTCTTAATACAATACCCAGAGTCCCAACGTAAATAATAAAGCAGTGAAAATTGGCGAATTCTTAACAAAACTATACACCAAAACGCAGCTGTTCACATGCACGTTTGCCCATGCTTTTCGGCAATTTGATGCATGATCCTCGTGCAATTCATCTGCATAAACTTTGCATCACTTCCCAAAAAGGAAACGCATAGGCGTTTGTATTTTTTAAATCTATTAATTACCTATTGTGTTCAAACAATCGTCAAAATATGTAACAAAAGTGTTGATGACATGATTGTACACAATTGCACAATTGCAAAAACCGACATTACCTGAAAATGTTGATTTTGATGAGATTTCTTACAAGGATTAAAAACGCAACAAGGCAACAGAAAACACCTTCCAGTTGAAATTGTGCAGCAAAGAGCATGCACTGTCTGGCTATAAAAATCCAGATTACTTTCGGAAATCGGCATTCGTTTTGAAGGAGTTTCAAGGTCAAATCACTACGCCACGTCTTGACGCTGCGACACGGAACATCGCCATTGAAAGAATGCACGCTGGAGATTACCAAGCTTCTGCTGCCAGGCGTCTGAATGTTAGTCTGAGCACGATATCACGGCTTGCAGCTCGTTACAACCAAACATGTATAACATAACAAATAACGGTCCCCGTACAGGCAGACCTCGAGTCACGACTGAGGCCCAAGATCGGTACATCCGGGTACTACATTTGCGTGATCGTACTGCCACGGGTGAGAGCACAGCAGCAAGGGTGCCTGGACTTCGGAAGATATCCGGTCAAACTGTACGGAACAGTTTGGGAGAGATTGGACTGAGAGCCAGGAGACCCGACGTCGGGACCGTACTACGTCGTCACCATCGCGCTCAACGTCTCCGTTATCTAAAATTATCCACTTGGTTGTATAGACATTACCTTCTTCTAAACTGATGTAAAAATTCATGCACTAAAGTTTATTTGTGGACGGACCGCCTCCGTGGTGTAGTGGCTAGAGCGTCCGCCCGGAGAGCGGAAGGTCGCGGGTTTGATCCCCGACCGCGTCATACCAAAAGACGTTAAACAATGGTACTTGTTGGTCCCTGCCTGGCGCTCGGCATTAATGGGTACAACAAGGACTGATCGGCTCGAAGTCAGTATAATGTGTCTGAGTGGGGTATTCATGCTTCACTGCGGCATGGTATCTCAGTAGGCTAGCACTATAAAACCAGCTTAAGTCTGGGCTAGTACAAGCAGATACACATACACACGCATGCACGTCGTCATATGAGCGACATATTCTCAAGCACGACGTAAAACCCAATTTCACCTCACCTCACCTCGCCTATTTGTGGACGAGTGATACATGTTTGCAAATACAACATTTTCGCAACAAATTTCTGGCCTATGCGTTTCTTTTGGGAGATAGTATACATAACATAGGGAGTGTTTTAAATGAGTCTAAACTTTTGAAGAAAAGTATATGTATATTAGTATTACGTTACAAATAGCTGACTAGCTATTCTCGAAACGTTCGTAGCCCTACGAAATTCTTAAGCCCATTCTAAACACATTGGCTACGATCAAAGTTACGAATTCTTAGGTCTACGAACGCTTAGAGAATAAGGGCCCTGTCTACAGTTCCTTAGTGGCAATAACGTGTAACCAAGCATGGACGTCTTTCATTCCTACATCACGCCATTGCCAGTAGCCTCTTACTCCACCGTGTAGATATGGGGAAGACTCTTCCCCCCGGTTTCTAACCGGTCCAGGTACGTGAAGGGGTTCTGACCCTGAAATAAGACATGGATACTGATGTTACGAATACTAGTTGCAGTTGTGTTGCTATTGGAGAGGACATTCTACAACGGTTGGTTGGTTTGTTGTTTCACGCCGCACTTAGCAATATTTCAGCTATATGGCGACGGTCTGTAAATATTCGAGTCTGGACTGGACAATCCAGTGATCAACATCATGAGCATCGATCTACACAACTGGGATACGATGACATGTGTCAACCAAGTCAGCGAGCCAGACCACCCGATCCCGTTAGTCGTCTTTTACGACAAGCATGCGTTGATGAAGACCAATTCCAACCTGGATATTCACGGGTATGTCTAAAAAGGGCTTTTGGGTTTTTCGTTTCCAGAGCCCGTGGATTTATGTTATGTATCTTTAACACTTTAACAGCAGGGCTGACATCAGAACAACTGCCTGAACTATTTTGCTAGGAGTTAGACCCTCTCCATTGCGAGAAAACCCTGACTATCGGAACGATACTGAGAGCAAATACTCTGAAGGAATCTGGGATTCATACCAACAATCAGATGCTCCAAAAGAAGACAGATCTTCACACAAAGATGCAGTCACACAGCGTGCAGCGTGTGGTACAATAACCAACGGTTTTATAGCGCTACAATATTAGGGATTTTTCTAACCACCCTGATGAGACACATCCACACAGTGGGGAAGAGGACAACTCACATCCAGGGGCCACACGACCTGGGGGGCGGCAATAAGGGTGACCCAGAGCTCCCGTAATGGTCTGAGTGGCAATTCCATGTTTCTCAAATGATACAGAATCAGACCCAAGAACTGGGAGGATGTGGCCAAACCACACCACACTGACAACACGATCAGAAACGACATTTACAGGAGACTAGAGCGAGCAACCCCCCCTACAACCCCCATGCCGTCACTGCAATGGGCTGTTCGTGACGTGGACCGCCTTTATCGGCAGTCACCGCAACCACAACATCAGCCATCAACTGACTCCAACTCCTGTATGTGTGTCGCCAGAGAAGAAGAAACATGAACTTACACGCTGAGTGTTGACCGGTCCGGGGGCGTCCGCCAGGTCGAAGAACGCACTGTAGCGGGTTCTGGCTAAAACTGTAGCAAGTTCACCGTCCACTGTAACCGTCTTCCCACTCTGAAAGGGAGGTTTCTCATCAGAATATACGAGTGATTTCAAGCGCCCGTTGTTGATGCTGTAGGCAGGATACCGGAAGCCAACGAAAGCATAATTCACGAAAGATTAACAAGAAATTAAAATTTAAAGGAGATGAGGTTTGACAGTCTTATGTTAGAAAGTTACAAACGTTAAAACACAACCTGTGAATCATTTAATTCAATCCAACAGTTTATGGTTGCTCCGAATACCAAGTGTTCCAATTCGCCATCTGCACTAACAGTGGAAATGGTATGTCAAAGTGTTTGCGGGTCATTTGTATTGGAGGTCAACAATCCTTTTCACCACTACTATCATATTCCCTCGGGTTCTTCCGCACCTGTCGTATGCCACGAGGCAACTAACGGGATCGGGTGGTCAGGCTCGCTGATTACGATTACACATTTCATGAGGAGACGGATACTCATGACGTCAGAGACTGGCTTTTCTGTCCCAGGCTTTATCATTTATAGGCGGAAGTTTCAGGTGAATAATAGCCGAGAAACAACAAGCAGCCAACTATCTCACCTTAAAGGTCATACTGACGTCCCACCTCAACTCTGACTCATGACCTTTGATGTTGCCTTTGTACGTCACCGAAGCCGGCCCTCTGTTACTTCCGCCTGCCAAACGGTACATCCGGCTGCCCGCGCAAATATACCTTCTTCCAGCTGAGCATTAACAAAACGCACTCATTTACAAATTGTGACCGTGTATAGCTATAGGGGGAAGGGGTGTATCTAACCTAACTGTAGTTATTGCCACCTCCATCTGATAACATCACATAAACTACCACTGGACATTGCACGTGTGATGTGACGTGACACAAATAACTCGTGGACATAATACAAACTGTGTACCCCCACTGTGCCCACTTGTCTTAAACTACAAAATTCAGTCACAATAGGGGGATTAGTGTAAACACATTTCAGAACAAATTGGTGAACACTATCAATTGGCATAGTCATGTATATATGTATATATGATAAAACGAACCCCAACCTCAACATTCATCATCATGGCTAATGCTCAAGTTGACGTCAAGTACATTGATAATGCACAGGGTGGACGAAAATTGATTTATGGCAACTGTACGTTTAGGGCTAAGAACCGAAAGAATAATAGAGTCTTCTGGAGATGCTGTGTCAAAGACTGCCGAGCAACACTGAATATGAAGGAAGGACATATCACTAAGTACAACAACATTCATAACCACGAGGTCGATCCAAACAGACTTTCTGTTGACAAGTTCTTGACTCACATCAGAAGCTGCTCTTTTAGACAATCAAAATGTATCCCAGTTCGCAGACTATGTAACTGAATTCTAGGCAGAGGGTAATGTACGTAGGGACATGTGGAATCATCAAGGCCCACGTACGACCAGTTTATGAGTTAAGTATGTAGTTTATGACTACATACTTATGAGTTAAGTAGACTATACTATAAATGTATACCACAGCCCACTAGCCTGATACAGACAATACCCTAATCCTTCTGTTGTTATAACACTGCCCATTCCCAAAAGTGGGACACAGTGGGAGTAAATCATACAAACAAATGAACACTTCAGTTACTTTGACCACAGTCTGTCAATAGTAATAATGTGTGGATACTTACGTAACTTTGCCTTATAGGCCTCACTGACATTGACAGGGCCGACACAAGTCAGGTAGGGAGTGGTGAATCCTGCTTTCTTGGCCGAGGCAAGGAATTCCCCAGGAAGCTGGGATCCAGTCAAGCCAAGGTCTGTTCGAGATATAACACATTTTACATATCATAACACCATAACATTATCAAACATCTCAGCGCGTTACCAGGCAATACATCTTGCTGGATGCCACGACGATATGATGGAAACATATCGGTGAACTATACTGTTTAGATTGGTAAACAACTTGGTTGGGCTAACTTGTCCCGCTAACTTATGAAAAGTATTGAAAAAAGTATTGTAAGGTAGATATGGTTTCGTCTTGAAAAAAGTGGGGGGCTAAGCGGACTTAGTGGACTATCATTTGTATTTTTATGTTCAGTATACATTAATTGAAAAATTACTAATCACAATCATACATGATGCATAACATACATAACTTTACACAATGTTTAGCATTATGTAACTGCATAAATATAAGAAATTGATAAGAACTAATCACAATCATACACCCGTATTATTATCACAATTACACACCCGTAAAGGTCCGAGTTAGAATGAACCTTCAGTAACCCATGCTTGTTGTAAGGGGCGACTAACGGGATCAGGTGGTCAGGCTCGCTGGCTTGGTTGACACATGTCATCGGTTCCCAATTGCGCAGATGGATGCTCATGCTGTTGATCACTGGATTGACTCGAATACTTACAGACCGCCGCCATATAGCTGGAATATTGCTGAGTGCGGCGTAAAACTAAACTCACTAATTTAATGCTACAAACGCCTTGTGGATCGGGACCGTGTATTTTTACTTTGGTGAGGATACGAGTCTGTATACAGGAGCGTACCTGAGGTAAATATCTGAACCACCCCTGCCGACAACGACCCCTTCAGCGGTAATATTGCCATGTCGTACGTCGTCCACTAGGGCAGTGGACCATCTTAGTATTAACGTTAATAGCCCCCTGCACAGAGTCTCACACTTCTTGAACATCAATGTTTCCCATTCCGCCCAAACCTTTCTGTTTTCTGGATGAAGAAAGTCTAACTCAATCACTCACTCACTCACTCACTCACTCACTCACTATTATATTACACAGTCTCACCCCAAGCTTTTAAGTCGCTATTCATCTCTGGAGGGGCTGGTTTCTCGCCGTACACATCGTTCAGGTAGAATTCGCCATCGGGCTGAAAGATTTTATTTTCAATTTACAAAACAGCTTAATTAAAAATTGGACATTAAAAGTTTCCCTTAAACATTGTCGAACCCGGAAGTCTTTCTCGCTTGAGGAGTGAATCATAGAAATTACAACGCAACAAGATTTCAGCGGACAGACGCTTTTATACAGCCGACCTCGGAAGTGTTGAAGCATGACGATCGTGAATGTATATCAAGGTATGAAAATTGTACGATTTAGAGTTGTGCGTTGATTTGAAACAATGGGAAAGTGAGTTAGGAAGTAAGGTGGTCGTAAGCTGTTTTTTCAGGGAAAGGAAGGACGGTCGTACATTGATTTAAAGGATAGAGAGAAGGACAGACGTGAGTTGATTTTAAAGTTCAGGACTTAGGTCCGTCGTGAGTTGAAACTATCCTTCTTACTTTCAATAACCTGAAGGCTTCGGCGAACGCGTTGGCTTTGTTGGGTACCAAACAAAACACACCATTGGACCTGAAAGACAATTTGGAGATGAGTACATGTATACTAGTATACAAATCGAACAAGGGGTTGATTGCCTCAGTTGATCATATCGAAAAGACACACATGCAAAAATCGCATATATAGCAAACGAACTTGAAATGAATCTCCCTATCTCATTGTGAGTGAATATGGTTTTACGCCGCTTTTAGCAATATTCCAGCAATATCAAGGTGGGGACACCAGAAATAGGCTTCACATATTGTGCCCATGTGGGAAGTCGAACCGGGGTCTTCGGCGTGACGAGCGAACGCTTTAACCACTAGGCTACCCCACCGCCCCTCCCTATCTCATATGTTTATTATCCCCCGCCGCGCGTTTAGCGCCAAGCGGGGGATATAGAATTAGGCTCCGTCCGTCCGTCCGTACGTACGAATTTGGAATATCCTAAGAACCGTTGACTGGATTCTTTTCATGTTTAGTACCTAGGTTCATCACAGTAAAAGGAAGGTGCCAGTCAGGTTTGGTGACCTTGACCCTTATTTCAAGGTCACAAGGGGACTTTAACGTTTTACCTGCACGTTAAGCTATCTCAAGAACCATTCACTGGATTTTCTTCATATTCAGTACCAAGCTTTATCTAGGGAAGGCGCAGCGCCCAGTCGATTTTGGTGACCTTCACATAATTTTCAAGGTCATGGCGACACTTGAAAATTTCAGCATGTAAACCTGCATGTTAAGCTACCTCAAGAACCGTTCACTGGATTTTCTTCATATTTAACACCAAGCCTTATCTAGGGAAGGCGCAGAGCCCATTCAATTTTGGTGACCTTCACTTAATTTTCAAGGTCACAGAGACACTTTGAAGATTTCAGCATATTAACCTACATGTTATGCTTGTCAGCGCGATACCTCAAGAGCCATTCACTGGAGTTTCTTCTTATTTGACACCAAGCTTCATCCAGGGAAGGCGCAGGGCCCAGTCGATTTTGGTGACCTTCACTTAATTTTCAAGGTCACAGAGACACTTTGAAGATTTCAGCATGTTAAATCGCATGTTAAGATAGTCATCAAGATATCGCAAAAATATTCAGTGGATTTTCTTCATATTTGTCACCAAGCTTCATCTAGGGAAGGCCCAGGGCCCAGTCAATTTTTGTGACCTTCACATAATTTTTAGGGTCACGACGACACATAATTTTTAGGGTCACGACAAGATTTCAGCATGTTAACCTGAATTGTCAGCAAGATATTTTAAGAACGGTTCACTGGATTTTCTTCATAGACTTTCAAGACCTCCCTTGAATGTTTTTCAATAAGCAATTCCTTTAGTACTAGTTTTTCGTATTTCATACACTATGACATTCATGTCAAGGTCAAAGTCAGTGTTGAAAATATGTGTGTGTTTGAACAACTAAAGAGCAAGATAATGTTTTTGTTGACATTTAACTTCATCTTAAACTTTCATTACTTTATAAGTTTGATTTGATCATTTGCGGCGGGGGATAATGTCACCTTAGTGACAATGCTTGTTGTATTTTCATTTCGTCCAAACCTTTGTATAGGACACTATTTTCCAGAAGCTGTTGACTGTGAACATCCAGGTACTCGGGTCCATGTTATATGCGATGTGTGATCCACAACTTCACTCTTGAGTTGAGTTGAGATGAGTTTTACGTCGTATCGACATTGTTTCAGCCATACAGCGACGGGACCAAGTCTGCATATGTAAACATTGTTCACATGTGAGATCACACTGTTTACAACACTGCTATTGGATTTAGTGCTTGTTACAAATTAGTTAATAGATTAGGATAAGATTTTGTTTTAAATGATACTATACATTACATCATTATGTGAGAATAAATACAATGGGCAAGTGATTCTGTGCCATTTGGTTGGCGAAGCAAGTAATTCCTTTCCTGATTGGTTGATAAATGAATGAAAGGCTTGTATGTTGCATAATTTAGGTTTTCAGTGTGCATGTGTATGTGCACGTGAGTCCGTGCGTGTGTTAATAAATAAATAAACAGACCGTGCAGTTACTATTGCACAATACGTATTTGTTAGAACTGACATCAATGTTTTGGGGGTGTTTATAGAGTAAAATGAACAGTGTATTCTCTTTACACTGCTACACAGGGAATTTGACAATGACAAGGTTCCGAAAACCAGCCCTATTATTAAACTGAAGCATGAGTTGACTAGACTGTGCGATTCCTTGAGCGATCCAGACTGTGATTGGCCAGGCCCGTATAAAGACATTGTTTTCGTGTAAGCCCCATAGCTTGCAAAGCTTTATATTTAGACAGTATTGAGGGCTTGCCTAAGATTTAGCAACAATCTTGCCCAACCTTTTCAGCAACAATCATGTGTAAGCCCCGGCTTTTTTAAGGCCCCTGTTTGTTTGTACGGAGTAATGTGGCACATGTGCTAGACTTGCAGAAGCTTCTAAGATAACAATTAATAGTTTTAATGAAAATTTCTAAAACAAATTATAAATAACATACTGGCGTCCTAAGACTTTGTACTATCCGCTTATCTAGACATGCCTCTTTAAAGGATAGAATTACTTTACATCCATGGGCTTAGCATCCAGTACAGCCTTGGAGCAAGGCTACCTATTTTGATAAGCTTTGATGGACACAGGCTGTCGGCTCATTCGAATCGAAATGACTGGATATCTGTAGCTACTCGTCTTCGTGAATGTAATGGAGTGTCCCGGGCGGCCATGACCTCGACACAACCTCTAGCCGACCCGGCTGAACGATCACATAAGTGATGACAGAGATCAAATTCTGTTGTCCCCCAACAGTGGGAAGGCTTCTGAATAAGTGAAGATATGTCAAAGCCGTGACATACCCATAATGGTGAGTTTGTGCGTTCCGTTCGGATTTGAAAACCAGGTAGCGTGGATCAGGTTCTGACCTGAATAGGGCATCTGCCAAAGGAAATACACGAATTTGTGAAAGGCACGCATTGTGTTGATTGGCCTGTAGAGTGGGTCGGAAGTATAGTGGTTGAACTTTGCTACTCAAACCGAAGGCCCCAGTTCGATTCCCAACATGGATACTATATTTTCTGGTGTAATATTGCTGGAATTGTGTTAAAATCGGCATAAAACTATATTGAGCATATTGCATGATTGAAAAGCAGCCAAACTGGCCTGTACCATCTGGCCCAACCCCTACCTAGGCTTTATAGATCCGACCGAGTCACCACCTGACCAAAATCCATTCTTCTAATGTCTGTTTGTGGTATGAGACGTAAAATACCATTCACTCACACCTTGAAGCCCCAACCCTACCTAGGCTTGTGTTAAGCAGCGTCCCAATAATGGATCAGGTGGTTTGGCTTCTGACTTTGTTGATTGCCTCTCAACTTCCGTGGATCGATGCTCATGATATACATCGCTGGTTTGTCTGGTCCTGACTGGGTCATTTACAACAAAAACATATACATGCCACAGCTAACCTGGTTGTGCTTTTCAAAGACGAGTGTTTGGAACCGTTACGAGTTGTTCAGCTCTTCTGGGACAATCTTTTGCAGCCCCATTAGCGTTTTGGAACTGTCTAGGTAATGTTAGTTCTACTCACACAACGATGTCAAAACTCTGATCCTCCAAGTTGGAACTACTGCTACTGCCCACCGACAGTTGGGATGTAACTGTCTAGGTAATGTTAGTTCTACTCACACAACGATGTCAAAACTCTGATCCTCCAAGTTGGAACTACTGCTACTGCCCACCGACAGTTGGGATGTAACTGTCTAGGTAATGTTAGTTCTACTCACACAACGATGTCAAAACTCTCATCCTCCAAGTTGGAAATATTCTCGGCGTTGCCTTCGAAGAACTCGGTGTTTTTCTTGTCGTATCCCCATTTGTCGCGGTGGTAGTCCTCCCTGTTCTTACCCTCGGTAATCTGAAAGAAGTAGTTTATATCATAATTTGTATTGCCAAAGGAACTGCCAATGTGTGTCAACAGACCTTAACTAAACGGTTTAAAGAATCAGATAAAACTCAATTATATACAACCCTTTTCGCTGTATATTGACATCTTTTTTCGGGCAAGCTGAGTTATGACCTGTAGTTCAAATTGAGGAGAAAGCACAAGATTGTGGGCATTTATTGACTTACAAAACCCATTTTTACGTTTTCATAAAAAAATCGTTCTGCCACATTGTACTTACCAGATTTGGGGTTAAATCCATGCCAACAACACTTCCGGTTGGTCCAACCAACTTGCTCAAGATGAAAACGAGGCTACCAGATCCACATCCAATGTCAAGGATACGCTTTCCTTCAATGCCTTCAGGAATGATAAGCCCGGAACCGTAATACCTAGAAATCACAATAATCTTGTATATTTAAAGCCATAATTATAATGTCAATCCCATCCGCCGGTACAACAGAGAGACTTCTACGTCGTTTTAGCAATACTTCAGTAATTAAACCAACCAAGACACAAGATACACGCATGCGCCAACCATCAGTTTTGCATCTGCTATCCATCGGTAATTAGCGAAGATTCAATCCGTTCATGCCCGGTGGGGTAGTCTAATGGTTAAAGCGCCCGCTCGTCACGAAGATCCGGGTTCGATACCCCACATGGGTACAATTTGTGAAGCCCATTTCTGGTGTCCCCCGCCGTGATATTGCTAGAATATAGCTAAAAGGGGTGTAAAACCATACTCACTCATTCCTTTCATAATTCATTCGACCTGTCAACGGGTTTTTAAAGAATATGTGAAGTAGGCATTGCATGCATGCCCCACCCACCTGTGTGCAGTACAAAATTAATTATTCAGGCTAAAATACTCTAGTATTCCCTACGTCAAAGGTTGGTGGAATTCTAGTCGAACTTAATCTAACAGGTACGTGTCGGTTAACTCTTAAATTACACGGCGAGGGACATGCAGAAATCCTTACCTCTGTTTTTGTAAGTATAATGATATTACTCATCCCTTCCAGTAGACACCCCTCTTTTTCATCCAGTTGACAGAATCTGCATACTTCAAAGACGCAGTTTCAATCATTACATTAACCTGCGGACCTGCTACCCAGGACAATGTCATCTCGCATACCTCCTCATTGTCTCTGGGTGAAGCTCAGCCACGATCTCCTTGATGTCAGGAGTAAGGTCCCAGTCATTGACCTTGCAGATGAAGTCACATTTGATGGCAGTGGAGTTGTAGAAGTCCTTTATGTAAGCGTTGATCTCGGCCATCTTGTATGGTGTGTCCTACAAAGAAGAGTCAGACGGATTCACTTGAGCAGCCAGCATCGAAAGGGAGTTGACGTGAAGGTCAGTGGGTCTTCAGCCAATGCAGCCTACACACTGTCAAGACAGACACCCATAAGACCACCCACTCAATGACTACACTTAATTTTCTCGGCAATTCACCACTATGCCCGTCACATCAGCAGAGATCCTTCTATGCAATGAGGAGGATGAAGACGTACGTTCGGAGTAAGCGGTCTGTCTTTGGGAGGTCTGTCTTATAGGAAGATACCGTATCAAGGGTACAGCTTAATTAAGCCTTATGCAACCAACCATAAATGTGTTGTTTTAAGCGGTCTGTCTTTTGGGAGGTCTGTCTTATAGGAAGATACCTTATCAAGGGTACAGCTTAATTAAGCCTTATGCAACCAACCATAAATGTGTTGTTTTAAGCGGTCTGTCTTTTGGGAGGTCTGTCTTATAGGAAGATACCTTATCAAGGGTACAGCTTAATTAAGCCTTATGCAACCAACCATAAATGTGTTGTTTTAAGCGGTCTGTCTTTTGGGAGGTCTGTCTTATAGGAAGATACCGTATCAAGGGTACAGCTTAATTAAGCCTTATGCAACCAACCATAAATGTGTTGTTTTAAGCGGTCTGTCTTTTGGGAGGTCTGTCTTATAGGAAGATACCGTATCAAGGGTACAGCTTAATTAAGCCCTATGCAACCAACCATAAATGTGTTGTTTTAAGCGGCCTATTTTGGGGAAGAATGTCTCATGGGAAGATACCGATGCCAGATACTAAAGACGACAATCGTGTCTGCCAACTGTTCACGCATGTCTCCGACTACATTCTTCGTAAACATAGTGTCACGGACGATGTAACGAGAACTTTTGGATCATGGACGCCGAGCCGTTGTTCACATACACGTTCAACTAAGTCGGGGAGGGGGAGGATGAGTTGGGAGGAGAGTGGGGAGGGGGGTTACCTTTTCACACTCACTGCAGAGTGCACTTGAGAAAGGTGATTTCAATTAAAACTGAATCCATTATTTTGTGCATAGATATATAGAGATGTAGCAGGAATTACGCCTTAATACAAATTGTATACTGATGAGGAGTCATTTGAACATTTGAGGTAGATCTGTTGACAGCGTGGGCAAGACGTAAGTGGTTATGTTCACTGTCAAGGGTCCATGGTTCGTGTGCACGTTTCACATACATGACGACGGGGATTGTCGCCTAAGCACTGAACAAAGATTGACATCAATTTACTTTCATTCACTTGAGTGTATATGGTCTCAGTTAAAATATATTCAAGTTGCAAGTACATAGATATGTCAGTGGAAGATACTGACTAACTGACAGCCGACTGTCCTGAAACACAGTTTAAACAACAGACTGACGTCATAGATCTCTTTTAATCCACATCTGCGGAATTATATCTTACCTTGATAGAGTTAAAATGTTTGTGCTTTGAGCGTAGGGCGTGTCCTCGGTTGGTCTGTCGTACAGACCCTAAAGCAAATATGTCCAAGAAAGGCCACGCAAGTCTAGAAAATGTGGCAAGTCTAGATTTCCTCAGCTTCAGGCAGGGCTCCTTTTCATTATATAAAAAAAAAAAAATTTACTATGAACTTTTCTCAGTAAAATATGTCCATTTCAGAGACTAGTTGTTAGTCTAGTCCTCGGTGTGCTTGGCGTTACCTACTGTCTCCTGGTCCGCTCGGTATGCAACACTGACTTCACAGCGGCGCCCTCTACATAGTAGACACGCTTGGCTGATTCACAGCCAGCCCCCTTGTATCACTGCTAAGTATTCCCAAAGCAGGGGCGGTGGGGTAGCCCAGTGGTTAAAGCGTTCGCTCGTCACGCCGAAGACCCGGGTTCGATTGCCCACGTGGGTACAATATGCGAAGCTTATTTCTGGTATCCCCCGCTGTGATATTGCTGGAATATTGCTTAAAACGGCGTAATACCATACTCACTCACTCACTATTCCCAAAACAATAACGAATGTCAGAAATACACTATCATATAAACTCTGTCAAAAAAGAAACGCAACCCCTGTCCTCAGATATGAAAAATTCGTTTGAATGAAGTTATTGCTTCCAAACTAAATTTTATTCGAATGTATTGAAATTATACACGTAATTAATGAAGATTACCATCCAAACAACTGCATTTGTACGCATAAGTGTATTTTATTGCTTATTCCGTCACAACGCATGAAATGACCCTCATGGTGACTTCGCACAAAAAAACCACATGCAAATCATGAAAATGGCAGTTAATGTAGGGGTGTATAAAAGCCCATGTGCTTTCGTATTATATTCATTCATTTGTCGCCGAAAAGCTGTGTTAAAAATGCCACGATTGAGTGCTGCCGACCGAAATATCGCCATTGGTCGTGTTCAAGCCGGAGAAAGTTTTGGAACTGTTGCACGGCACCTAAATGTTCACAAAACAACGATATCCCGACTTTGGAGCCGCTACAACAACTTCAATTTGACCAACGATCGCCCGAGAAGTGGAAGGCCAAGAATCACGACCCCCCTTCAAGATCGGTACATCCGGGTCCATCACCTGCGTAATCGGCATGCCCTACCAACCGTGACTGCCACACAAATACCAGGTTTGAGGAGAGTGTCAGCTCAAACGATTAGGAACCGTCTGAAGCAGCGGGTTTACGTGCCTGTAGACCAGTTGTTGGACCTGTACTACGCCCCCTACATCTCCGCCGACGACTCAGGTGGTGCAACAACGTAAGGATATGGACTTTACAAAACTGAAGGCGCATCTGGTTTTCTGATGAATCCCGTTTTCTTTTGCAACATCACGACGGAAGAAAACGTGTGTATAGGAGACGTCATAAACGTTTTGCGCCCATCTGCGTCCGACAGGGGGACAGATTTGGCGGAGAAGCATTATGGTTTGGGGATCCATCTCATACAACCAGAAATCAGACTTGGTGATCGTTGAAGGGAACCTGACAGCCCAACGTTACATCAACCACGTATTACAGCCTCACCTTCTCCCGATTATTGACCAACAGACACAGATTTTTCAACCAGACAACGCCCGGCCTCATACTGCACGTGCAACAATGAACTTTCTGCAGAATTCCAACGTCAATGTCTTGCCATAGCCCTCTAAATCACCAGACCTCAACCCTATTGAACACCTGTGGGATACTCTGGGTCGACACGTACGTCAACGTCAGCCGCCGCCACAGACGCTGCAACAGCTCGGCGTTGCACTGCAGGAGGAGTGGAGAGCCATTCCCCAGGAAAGAATCCGGCGTCTTATCCGTTCTTGTCCAAGGAGATGCCGTGCAGTGATTGCAGCTCGTGGTGCTCATACGAGATACTGAGAAAGACGCCCCCCTGGTGACAAACTGGTGTCTGTGAGATGACTTTTGAAATGACAATTTTAAACATGCCCATCTTGGTTATTATTCTGCCAAATTTCAGACTTCTGTCTTAAATAATAAAAATGCTGTGTCGTCTTAAAACTTCAGATCAAAATCTCTAAAATACAGGGGTTGCGTTTCTTTTTTGACAGAGTTTATATCTTTACTCAAGGCCAGACACTCCGTACAGTACTGTTTGCCTTGTAGCCTTGCTCCAAGGCTGTGCTGTAGGCTCATGCCTTGGATGTATAGTAATTTTATCCTTACAAGAGGCAAGTCTAGAAAAGCGGACGGATGGGACGCCAGTCTGTTAGAGGGTTATTTATATTTTTTAGAAATTATCATTGAAACTATTGAATATTACATTAGAGACTTGTGCAAGTCTACTTGTATCGCTTATCCATAAACAATCTTACTTTCTTACTTGTATCGCTGTTTCTAAAGTGAAATCCCAAATCATGCCCGCCGATCTTGGGTGATTATACTATCGGCAACTCTCTGATTGGTCAGTTTTTGCAAAGCGCTATTTCTTCAGGAACGGAATGCCAAACTTGAGACACCGCAGTGCTCAAAGATTTGTCCTCGTGGGGTTCGATTCGCTTCCACTGCTTTACTCACCTGAACTTGAAATTAAGGAGACAATCGAGACCACCTCAACTATTTCATATTTAGATCTCTGCATAAAGATTCAGAGTGACAAAAAAATCTCCACAAGGCTGTATGACAAAAGTATGGAATACTGTAAGGGACATTCTCGCGATCTCGACCTTTGGAAACAAGCTAAAAATGCCAAAAGTGCGAGAATGCGAGAACGCGAGGTTTGGCCTAAATCTCGCGATCTCGCATTCTGGTGTTTTTGGTACATAGCACTTTTGTCAAAAGACGACAACGCGAGAATGCGACATTTGTACATGCTGTCAAATCTCGCAATCTCACTATCTCGACTTGTCAAATAAGGCCACAAAAAGACGAAATCGCGAGAACGCGAGAATGCGGCATTTCATTTTCTCGAGCTTTCGCGATGTCGCGTTTTAGACGCTGTCGTTGCGCATGCGCAATATCATAAGGCCAAGGCGCATGCGCATGTTAGTACTACTGTGGTCATGTTTCTTTCATGCTTTTCATTTCCCAAGTAGCATTTAGCAAAATGATGACATAGCTTGAAAATATAGGTCCGTATATAGGTCCGCTCCCGCTATTACAATTTTCCGTGTGCTTAAAAATCCTAAACATGCACAATATAATTTAACAAACGAAATTGTGAACATGAATGTCTAATAAAAGTGAAAACATGAAAGTGTCCGGAAGCTGGAAAAAAATATTAACGTCAGTGAGTGATAAAATATTGCTTAAAGTCGCATCAATTCGCAGCTACTCGCAGCTACACCGTCAGTTATAGAAATAATCACAGACCATAGACTAGTCAAATTTCTAAGAAATGTGCATTTTAAGAATGCATGAGGCATTTTTGAGTAAAAGCAAGCAAACAACATTTTCTGGGGTAGTTTTTCGTGCTGAATACGAATCTGTTGTTTGCTAAGCTCAAAAATGTCTAATTAGGTCACAAATTGGGTTCAAAGGTCAATGAGTGCAAAATTCAAATTTTT